AAATACGCAATCAATTGGTTGATTAAGTAAATAAGATTAAAGCGGTGTTAGAGTAGGAAAGTCTCTACAAGCAGTCCTCGTTCATGTGTATGACGGACAGAGAAAATAAATGCCGTAGTAGTTTTGGATACCAAAAACTGTCGAAGCTGCTTGTTGCGGAATACGATGTTGTCGGTTGAGACGATGTATAATAAAAATGAACTGATCAAATGCAAACAATAACATTTAAGGAGAGCTGACATGGTTTGTGCAATATTTAGTTGATATTATTTAGTGATACTGGTCAGCTATCTTATTCGGTGTATCCTGTGATACACCCAAATCGCCTCTTGAAATTTTAACGGGGAAAAGAATAGAAACTAGAGAGATGAGATCATCTCTATATTGGCTAGTCAATCCGCGTTGCTTATCTTTGAGTATTTACGGACTGAAGTCCATACGGATGCAAGTGCACTAGGTTACGGTACTAATTCAAATAGGAAAAGACGGACGCATACACGCAGTAGCTTTACAATATGTGCAGATCCAAGGTACTACTCCTGAGCTCGAGATACTTGCTGTTGTCAAGGCGTTGCAACATCGTCATCTCATCGGAAAACATTTTAGGGTAGTAACTAACTGCAACGCCCTGAAAATTATACGAGGATCTCTTGCCTAGGGTAGTGCGCTGGTGAATGTGCCTACAGGATCGTAATTTGACGTTTGAATATCGTAAAGGTTAGTTCATATCTCACGTATCGAAATCCTTTTAATAACCTCACGAATCGTAGTAGCATATGCTGCTGATGATGAAACTACTTGTACAAGGGCAGTTGAATAGTTTGCGATATATAAAGAAAATAAATCTTAAAGAAAATAATTATTAACATATCTCTATAGGAAAAAGTCGCGATTATTGTTATATTTCTAAAGACTACGTGTTGACCATATTGACGTGGAAACGTTGTCGAGTTCAAATTAGTTGACGGTTTCAAAGTAGGGTCCATCTTGTAAAGAAATACTATAGAGCACGGAATTGTTTGTTTAATGTGTAAACATGTTACCTTATACTTTATATCACGTTCCTCTCCACCCAATGTCCAGGTCCACTATACTTTCAATACCTTATGATGCAGTACATAAAATGTAACGAATACAAATATATTCTCGTACACTCAAATGCTTTCTCTATTGTTCTAATCTATACAGAGTCAAAATAGAGTAGAGTCAAAAAGGAATTTGAGTTTTTCTAATGTAATTTGTATTTTTGAGATAAATTTTATCGTAAGGTATTTAGGTAACACCTCGTGTAAGGCTTTGTGCAGCATCGAGTGTGTTATAGGATACACCTCGTGTAAGGCTTTGTGCAGCGTCGAGTGTGTAATAGGTAAGCACCTCATATAAGGCTTTGTGCAGTATCGAGGGTGCTATAGGATACACCTCGTATAAGGCTTTGTGCAGCATCGAGCGTGTTATAGGATACACCTCGTGTAAGGCTTTGTGCAGCGTCGAGTGTGTATTAGGTAGCACCACGCATAAGGCTTTGTGCAGCATCGAGGGTGCTAAAGGATACACCTCGTATAAGGCTTTGTGCAGCATCGAGTGTGTTATAAGATACACCTCGTGTAAGGCTTTGTGCAGCATCGAGTGTGTTATAAGATACACCTCGTGTAAGGCTTTGTGCAGCATCGAGTGTGTTATAAGATACATCTCGTGTAAGGCTTTGTGCAGCATCGAGTGTGTTATAAGATACACCTCGTGTAAGGCTTTGTGCAGCATCGAGTGTGTTATAAGATACACCTCGTGTAAGGCTTTGTGCAGCATCGAGTGTGTTATAAGATACATCTCGTGTAAGGCTCTGTGTAGCGTAAAGTGTGTTATAGGTGACCTCACGTATAAAGCTTTGTGTGGCTTCTATGTATACAAGCTTAGATCAGATTTAAATTAGTCCTTGTGAGGCAACGTGATCCTACTTCCAAAAATAAAATGCTTACCACTAACTTATGGTTCACAGGTTGTGAAGAGTCACTGTTGACTCGTCTCCGAGCAATAGCCCTGAGCATACTTTCAGCCTGGACAGAGCGCATAAGATTAGCAGTCGGACCAGACGTCGCGCCGTGACCAGAAAGCATCGGGGACGATGCTCCGTCAGGAGAGGCCGTGTTAGGTGTAACTTCCTGTGGTGGCGCCACCGTCGTGCGGCGCGTCTATAAAAGGCTGCGAAACCCGGTGTGCGGTCTCTTTTGGTCGACAGACGTGCTCTCGAACGAATCTCCGTATCATATGGTGTTTGCTTTATAAGTTCTTTTACTGATTTTGTTAAAATTTATTATACGATTTGTTATCAGTTTCTTTTATTTAATTAAATTTAGAGGATACTCCTAACAGTATTGTGACATTGGTTAATAATGTCTCAACCCGTGCATTCTGTCGGTAATGTTATTATTAATATTATAAATGTTTTCTAAGTATGGATGCATGTTTAATACTCTTTCATGCGAAATTACTGAGCGAACTTTGTTGAAACTTTAGAGTGATATAGCTTATACATCAGAATAACCATAAGCTATAAATTTCACGTGAGTGAAACCATGGATACAGCTAGTCTTACATAAATGTAAATACACTCGTTTCATTGATCACGGAAACGAAACTGTCATACATTCATTGAGACGACTTTTTACAAAAGCTACCTATATCATTTTTCTATAAATTCTCTCCACGCTCAAATCAGATTATTCGAACCGCAATCACCTGGCAAGTTACTAATTTATTACCATGTAATTTCAAATTGTGACATTAGTTAATTTTGCTATCGGAAATCTTTAATTGTACTCGCGAGCTTGCTATATTATTATTTACATTACTATAACAATATCTTGTTGATACAAATATTTGTTTAATTAACCTCCTTCTAATTGGCAATTGTGACGTTTCCTTAATTAATACTGGCTTCATCGAAAACCATCGTAATAACAAAAACCTACGTTCTTCGTAATTCTGATAAAATATTATTACATCTGTTTTGACTTGTATTTAGGAAATTTGTGAATAAACAAATTACAACAACAGGATTAACAAATATTCTAATAATAAAAATATATTTTAATAAAGTAAAATTAAAATTAAAACATCTTTGTTCGTGTGAGTCTATTCCAGACTCTACTGATCTGTATTACCTTGTTAATCTAAGATCTGACAATTTTTTTATGGACTCCCGCAATGCAGTCTTGCCTAATGTGGATATGTGAAAATGTATAAAGCATATGTATGTTTGTTACCCTTTAAAACATACTAATGGACGGATTCGGCAAAAAGTAGTAATGTATGCAGTAGTAAAAGTATGCAAAGTATGCAGAGCTTTTGTTATGAGTACTAAACAACTGTTATAAAATCATTTTTTTTATAAACATACATAGAAAACACCCAAACTAATACAAACAGTCGATCACATGAATATAAATGTTTATATCGTGTAAAGAATCGAACCCGCGACCATCGAAAGTAAGGCGTGCTAAATCGCTAAACCACCGAGGCCGTCAAATAAAATATATATTATATAATAGAATAAAGTAGATTACTATCACTAGGTTACGACGCTCTCGTTGTTATTAAATAATGTGGGTTAAATAGAAGTTTAATGATAATAAACCTGATGATCTCACGGTTATTACACATTTTTATTTTTATTCATGAGTAGGATTATTTGTATCGGTGTGTGTTTTCTATGTATGTATTTACGAAAATAAATAACTAAGCAAATATCTGGTGCATTTTCTAATCGTCTTAGTACGCATAACACACAGCTCTGCTTACCGTGGGTTTAGATGGCGCTGTATTAATTATCCAGGGTTATTTATTTATTTATATTTTAACATATTTGCATATATGTTATTATATTAAGAAAAAAATATTATAAAAAAAATGAATACTGACATACGCATTTTGAAAATGAATGAAAAATCATGTATTTTACATTCACTTTCAAAATGTGTGACGACAAGAATTTAAGAACATCCTTTGAAGAACACTACTTGTCACACTTCGTCATCTCCCTCCCCTCAAAATGTGACGTAGTTTATGAATGAGAGTGACTACATTATATTTATTCGTACAAGCGACACGCATTCACGAGCATGACGGATGAGTCACTGCGTTCAATATTAGGAACCCAATAACCTGGCCTTCCACACCTGAACAACGTAAATAATAGATTATATACCTACTACACTAGCTGACCCGCGCAATTTCGTCTGCGTTTCATTTCCCCACCATTTGCAATATTACTCATTGCAGCTGTGCTCTTATTAGTCGTAGCGTAATGTTATATAGCTGGGGGGATAGGAGATTGTTAGTAATGTGGACTCTTGACCCCATTACTAGCAATGTACCATGTCAGGTTGACCTCCACGCGGTTCCCCCTGGAAACCATCGTGATAAGTTCGTGGTGAGGTTGTCACGATGGGCTAACTAACCTGACCTCATGTTCATCTTATCATCCTCCACTGGTGCCCCGCCAGCGTAAACCGTTAGCGCAGGCGGGTGCACCATTCCATTATCATCCATAAAAAAAAAATGTTATATAGCTTAAAGCCTTCTTCTACAAATGGACTATCTAACACAAACATATTTTGTTAATTTGAACTAGTAGATCCTGAGATAAGCGTGTTCAAACAAACAAACAAACTCTTCAGCTTTATAATATTAGAATAGATAATATATTTAAATGACATAATACCCACTCATAATAACATTTACCCAATAAATCATTGACCTCATTGCAAAACATAATTGACAAGTGTCAAAAATACTTGAATCACTCGGAAAGGAAACACCGTTTTGTTTTCGCCGCGCACACCATTTATAGCAGACCCACCTCTCTAATTCCTACTTAGGAACACCGAGCTGTCTGCAGCGAGCCGTCGAAATTCTTGAGGTCATGTTATGCTGGTTTGTCCGCAATCCTGCGTTTGCGCATGGTTTCGCAAAGCCTTAGTGCAGTATTATTGCGACTACCAATACGGTTGGACGCGTATTTTGTTCATTGTTTACACTAAATGATTGGAACGTGAACTTTACGCAATTACAATTGTTTTAAGGAGATGTGTTATAGTGCAAAGAGCTTGATATAAAGTGAAAGGAAATTTATTTATAGCAGCGGAATTTATATTGTAAGTATATTTAAACTAACTTAGCTTAAAACGTTTTTAGTTTATTTTTATTTAATTTTAAAACTGTTAATAATAAATTTACGCTAATACGAAATTAAATAATTATTTCATGTATTCATGATTTATATATAAGTATTTAGTTTGTTAATTTTTATGTACGAAAAAATCGATATGGTTTTTATTATTAAACTTTTTGTAAGACATAATATACATATTTAAATGTACTAATAGTACGGTAGTATGACAACATAATTATTGTTCATAGAAAATATGCTACAATAGTTAATTAATAAATAATTTAATTATACACCTTCAACATAAATAAAACGTAGACCTACCTGAAATTAAAATTTGAAATATAACAAATACGACCTACCCATTGATTGTCAGCTGATGTTTGTCATAATGAATGGATTTATGCAACAAAAAAGTATTTCAGTCGTGACAAAATTATCTATGGGTAATAAAAAGAATAATTAGAAACCATTTAGAATTGGCGAAGATAATCGTGTTACGTGTGTAGCGAATATAATGTAGTGACAAACAAATATAAAGTCGAATAGAGAACTTTATCAATAAGAAAGATACCAACAAAATATTTAAATATCCAATGTTAATAAAGTATGAAGTTTATGGAAGGAATTAAGGGAATTAGTAACGAAATTGGACCCTAAATATGTATTTCCAACGCTACATATTTACTATAATTTCATACTTATTCGTGTGAAAATCTTTAATTGGCTTTCTTCTAAACGACATAGTAATTATTATTTTGTATTGATTCGCTATTGGTTAATAAAGATCTGAAATTTTTTTTATCAATCCAAAATTTTTAGATGACGTTATATTTCCACTCATTTTCATCCCCTGAATATTGTTAAATTAGAGTTATGTAGTCTTTACATATATATCATACTCGCAAATACCTACTTGGAGGAACTGGTCGAGTTACGGCTACCCATTAAAATATTTCTTTACGACAAAAAATGCAATTACAGACGCTGGAGGTCACTACACTCTCCCTTATTGAATTTAAAAATTAATCTGTATTATTGCAGTCATGTACAAGCTCATTTGAAAAGAACAAGTGCTGTTTTTTCTGTTAGTTCTTCTTAGAACGCACTCCGAATTGACGGTAGATTTGTATAAAAGTCTGTAATACACCTATATGAATGAATATATTTTGATTTGATTTGATTTTATTTACACGAAATCATCAAGTGGGCATCTCTGTCTCATCTAGCAGGTAGATTTGTCAGAAGAGTCTATAATAAACATACATGAATAAAGATATTTTGATTTGATTTGATTTACACGAAATTATTTTGTGGGCTTCTCTGTCGTATCTAGCGGATAGATTTGACATAAGAGTCTGTAATAGATCTACATGAATAAAGATACTTTGATTTGATTTGATTTACACGAAATTATCAAGTGGGCATCTCTGTCTCATTTAGCAGGTAGATTTGACATAACAGTTTGTAATAGACATACATGAATATAGGTATTTTGATTTGATTTGATTTGATTTACACGAAATTATCTAATGGGCTTCTTTGTCGCATCTAGCAGATAGATTTGTCATAACAGTCTGTAATTGACCTACATGAATAAAGATATTTTGATTTGATATGATTTACATGAAATTATCAAATGGACGTCTCTGACATCTATTTTAGCCGCGAAGCAGCATTGTATGCTGTTTTTCAGCGTAACAATCTAACAGTTAATATAGAAGATGAATAGAATGTTTAATTTGTTCGGTCTGAAGCTAGTGTTCATTTTCTGAATAGCCAGACCAAACCCATAATTACAGAGCAAATAATAGATAGCGTGTACCTATAACATTATGTGGAACAACCATTGAAGTATGGTTGCAGTAAGGAATGTAAATACGGTGATATCAATGGGACAGGGTGTGCCATAAGACGGGTTTATTCCATTCCATCCATCGCCAAATACGAGTAGATAACGAGGTTTCTAATAGGTGCGGTAAGAACATACAATGTAACATACACATGTCCTGAAGACTGCAACCTTTATGAGGGTAATGAGAGGCATCGTTTACAGTCCACATTGTTATGTAAAGATTTAACATTTCTATATAAATACTAGCTGTCCCGGCAAACGTTGTTTTGCCTTAAAATAAAAAAAAAATTAGGGTTGGACTACCCCTAACATTTAGGGGGATTAAAAATAGATGTTGGTCGATTCTCAGACCTACTCCATACGCTCACAAAATTTCATGAGAATCGGTCAAGCCGTTTCGGAGAAGTATGGGAACGAAAACTGTGACACGAGAATTTTATATATAAGATATAATTATTTAGCGGGACCCGGTTTTACCTGCATGAAGTTTGTATTCTATGGTTTATTTCGATGTATTAGCTATATTACTGTAAAGTTTTATCAAAATCCGTTCAGTAGTTTTTGCGTGAAAAAGTAACAAACTTCCATACATCCATACTGACAAGCTTTCACGTTTATAATATTAGATGTAATATTATCTTTACTGTGATATTAGTAAGATACAATAATTAAAAATTGTAAATAATAAAGAAACTAGCTACTCGCCCCATCTTCGCCCGGGTGTGTATTATATACCTATATATATAAACCTTCCTCTTGAATCATTCCATCTATAAAAAAAAACCGCTTCAAAATCTGTTGCCTAGTTTTAAAGATTTAAGCATACGAGTACATAGGGACGGACAGACAACGACAGTAACTTTGTTTTGTACTATGTAGTGATAAACACAAGAAATTACCACATTTCGCTGAAAATATTTAAAACGAACTTGGCATCGACACTACCACCTGCGTATTAAATCGGTGTTTTCCGTCACCAGAGAGTTAGTTAAAAATGTAAGTAAATCACAAACTAAGCCTGTCTCCAAGACTAAGTTAATGAGTTGATGTTTGTCTACATCTAATATATCGGTATGTTTACAATTTTTTATGAATAGTTTTTTTAAGTCATATTTTTATTCTGGCACTCAGGATCATCAATATATATGATAGATATACCGCCATCTTGATCATGACATCTGTAATTCTCCTGCAGCACCATACGAATTACAGATGTGTAGTGAGCCTTTTAAGAAGAAAGGAATGAGTTTACCGTCTTAATGTAACCTTGAGTCTATCAAATGTTTTATTACGTAAAAAATTTGGACGAGTTAAAACCAACATAACAAGTTAGTTAATTATAAACTTGTATTTCTTGTTTTAGGGCAGACAAAAGGCGCGAAACATTACTTTACTACACTCTGATACAGTTCTTATATGTAGTTACATGTTACACTTTTTTTATTTAGAAAGCGATATGGCCAATTTTCCCTAACCAAACATCGGCGTCTGTCAAGACCATGAATGAAAAATCAAAACAAATAATGTGTATATACCAAAAGTCTTCTTAGTGGTCTAGTGGTTTGGGATACTGCTTTATTTTAGACTAACTGACTAACTTTGTCTGCGTTTTATTTCCCCACCTTCTGCAATATTTGTCATTGCAGTTCCGCTTCTATAGATCGTAGCGTAATGTTATATAGCTTAGTATGTTATATAGCTAGGATCCTTCCTCAACGAATGGACTATCCAACACAAGAAGAATTTTTCAATTCGAACTGAGATTCAATTTCTGAGATTAACGCGTTCAAACAAACAAACCCTTCAGCTTTATAATATTAGTATAAATTGCTGGCAAGACGCAAAATAACCAATGAATACAAAATTCATGAGTACGATTTTTTGTAATAGGCTAGGTATTTTCCATATATGTATATTATGTATGTATTTATAGAAAAAATATTAAAAAATATTTAAGAATAAGTTTTTTTTAATGTAATGATTGATACATGTGATTTTTTATACTTCTAGCTGTGCCCGGGATTGTGTCCGTGTGGAATAGTGAGATATAATAATATAATATCTTGAGAAAATTAAAAATATGTGTATAATAATAATCTAACCCAAAAAAGTTCAATCGTTCTAGCTTCAAAAATAATCAATTACCATACAAACTTTTATCCCTAATTTTTTTCTACCCTCTTAAGGGTAATTTTTTTACAGACTGAATGTCATATTTAATCAACAGCCTAAAAAATAAGTTTCAAGCTTATTGCTTTAAAAATGACGTCACTTCCATACAACTTTTCATCTCCCCTTTCAACCCCTTACAACCGTTGTCGCATTAAAAAGTAAGTCCTAAGTCCTTTCTCATGGTCTAGACTATCAGTGTACAAAATTTCATTGAAATCGGTCCAGTAGTTTTGACGTGAAAGCGCGACAGACAGACAGACAGAGTTCCTTCCGCATTTATAATATTAAGGATGATGTCATACCCGATCTGACATACTCGCGTAACATCTACATTCACCTACAAAAGTAATTTTTTTAGAAACCAAACCAATAACTGTTAGATACATTCTCTTCTCTCATGTTTGTATGAGATGATGCAATTACACGAAACCGCATTTCATATGCAATAAAAATAAAACGACCGACTACGAGATATTTATTAGTTAATTCATTCGCTACCAATCTTATTTAGAACTAGCTGTACCCGCGACTTCATCCGCGTGGAATTTAACTATATTTTTCTAAAATAAAACTAGCCTATGTTACTCCTTATTACATTAGCTACCTGCCAAAAAAAGTCCCGTCAAAATCGGTCCATCTATTTCAGAGATTAACCAGAAGAAACAGACAGACAGACAAAGTTTGTAAAAAATTTATTTTTGGTATATGTACCGTATATATATTCATATGCATGTAGCAAATAATAGTTATTTCAGTATTACAAACAGACACTTCAATTTTATTTATATGTGTAGATATCATGTAATACTTTTTTATTATCTCATTATGCAGCATGTATTCAATTTACTTTATTTTTTTTACTTAGAAATGGAATAGTTCTTCGATTCAGTATTTTTTGAGTTTATTGCCTCAGAACTCCGTAAGTTCTTATTACATTTATAATATAGTATTTATTTTCA